CTATAATACTATCCCTGGAACTATTTCACAACTATAAATAGTATCCCCGGCTCTAGTCCACCTCTATAATTGCTATCCTTGGTACTAGTTCACCATTATAAATACTATACCCGGCTCTAATCCACCTTTATAATTACTATCCATGGTACTAGTTTACTATTACAAATACTATTCCCGGCTCTAGTCCACCTCTATAATTACTATCACTGGTACTAGTTCACCACTATAAATACTATCCCCGGCTCTAGCCCACCTCTATAATAATTATCACTGGTACTAGTTCACCACTATAAATACTATCCCCGGCCCTAGTCCACCTCTATAATTACTGTCCCTGGTACAAGTTCACCACTATAAATATTATCCCCGGCTCTGGTCAACCTCTATAATTCTTATCCTTGGTACTAGTTCACCGTTATAAATACTATCCCGGCTCTAGTCTACCTCTATAACTATCATCCCTGGTACTATTTCACCAATTTAAATAGTATCCCCGGTTCTAGTCCACCTCTATAATTATTATCCTTGGTACTAGTTCACCACTATAAATACTATCCCTGGTCCTATTCCACCTCTATAATAACTATCCTTGTTACTAGTTCACCTCTATAATCACTATCCTTGGTACTAGTTCAACACTATAAATACCAGGTCCGGCACTGGTCCACCTCTATAATAACTATCCTTGTTACTAGTTCACCTCTATAAATACTATCCCCGACTTCAGCCCACTTCTATAATTACTATCACTGGTACTAGTTCACCATTATACATACTATCCCCGGCTCTAGTCTACCTCTATAATTACTATCCCTGGTACTCTTTCACTACTATAAATGCTATCCCCGGCTCTAGTCTACCAATATAATTACTATCCCTGGTACTAGTTCACCATTGTAAATACTATCCCCGGCCCTAGTCCACCTCTATAATAATTATCCTTGGTACTATTTCACTACTATAAATACTATCCCCGGCTCTAGCACACCTCTATAATTACTATCACTGGTACTAGAACACCATTATAAATACTATCCCCGGCTCTAATCCACCTCTATAATTACTATCCCCCCTGGTACTAGTTCACCTCTATATATACTATCCCCGGCTCTAGTCCACCTCTATAATTACTATCCCTGGTACTACAGTTCACCACAATAAATACTATCCCCGGCCCTAGTTCACCTCTATAATTACTATCCCTGGTACTAGTTCACCTCTATAAATACTATCCCCGGCCCTAGTCAACCTCTATAATTACTATCACTGGTACTAGTTCACCACTTTAAATACTATCCCCGGCCCTATTCCACCTCTATAATTACTATCCCTGATACTAGTTCACCTCTATAATTACTATCTATGGTACTAGTTCACCACTTTAAATACTATCCCCGGCCCTACTCCACCACTATAAATACTATCCCCGGCCCTAGTCAACCTCTATAATTACTATCACTGGTACTAGTTCACCATTATAAATACTATCCCCGGCCCTACTCCACCTCTATAATTACTATCCCCGGCCCTAGTCCACCTCTATAATTACTATCCCTGATACTAGTTCACCTCTATAATTACTATCCATGGTACTAGTTCACCACTTTAAATACTATCCCCGGCCCTACTCAACCTCTATAATTACTATCCCCGGCCCCAGTCCACCTCTATAATTACTATCCCTGATACTAGTTCACCTCTATAAATACTATCACTGGCACTAGTCCACCTCTATGGTACTAGTTCACCATTATAATTACTATCCATGGTCCTATTTCACCACTATAAATAGTATCCCCGGCCCTAGTCATCCTCTATAATTACTATACCTGATACTAGTTCACCTCTATAATCACTATCCATGGTACTATTTCACCACTATAAATACTATCCCCGGCTCTAGCCCACATCTATAATTACTATCCCTGATACTAGTTCACCTCTATAATTACTATCCATGGTACTATTTCACCACTATAAATACTATCCCCGGCCCTAGTCCACCACTATAAATACTATCACTGGTACTAGTTCACCACTATAAATACTATCACTGGCTCTAGTCCACCTCTATAATTACTATCCCTGATACTAGTTCACCTCTATTTATACTATCCCCGGCCCTAGACCACCTCTATAAATACTATCCCCGGCTCTAGTCCACCTCTATAAATACTATCACTGGTACTAGTTCACCATTATAATTACTATCCCTGATACTAGTTCACCTCTATTTATACTATCCCCGGCTCTAGTCTACCTCTATAATTACTATCCCCGGCCCTAGTCCACCTCTATAATTACTATCACTGGTACTAGTTCACCATTATAAATACTATCCCTGGCTCTAGTCCACCTCTATAATTACTATCCCTGATACTAGTTCACCTCTATTTATACTATCCCCGGCTCTAGTCTACCTCTATAATAACTATCCTTGGTACTATTTCACCACTATAAATAGTATCCCCGGCCCTAGGCCACCTCTATAATTACTATCCTTGGTACTAGTTCACCTCTATAAATACTATCCCCGGCTCTAGTCTACCTCTATAATAACTATCCTTGGTACTATTTCACCACTATAAATAGTATCCCCGGCCCTAGGCCACCTCTATAATTACTATCCTTGGTACTAGTTCACCTCTATAAATACTATCCCCGGCTCTAGTCTACCTCTATAATAACTATCCTTGGTACTATTTCACCACTATAAATAGTATCCCCGGCCCTAGGCCACCTCTATAATTACTATCCTTGGTACTAGTTCACCTCTATAAATACTATCCCCGGCTCTAGTCTACCTCTATAATAACTATCCTTGGTACTATTTCACCACTATAAATAGTATCCCCGGCCCTAGTCCACCTCTATAATTACTATCCTTGGTACTAGTTCACCTCTATAAATACTATCCCCGGCCCTAGTCCACCTCTATAATCACTATCCTTGGTACTAGTTCACCACAATAAATACTATCCCCGTCCCTAGCCCACCTCTATATTTACTATCACTGGTACTAGTTCACCACTATTAATACTATCCCCGGCTCTAGCCCACCTCTATAATTACTATCACTGGTACTAGTTCACCACTATAAATACTATCCCCGGCTCTAGTTCACCTCTATAATTACTATCCCTGGTACAAGTTCACCACTATTAATACTATCCCCGGCCCTAGTTCACCTCTATAATAACTATCCTTGGTACTAGTTCACCTCTATAATTACTATCCCTGGTACAAGTTCACCTCTATAATTACTATCCTTGGTACTAGTTCACCATTATAAATACTATCCCCGGCTCTAGTCCACCTCTATCATTATTATCACAGGTACTTGACACCATGATAAATACTATCCCCGGCTCTAGCCCACCTCTATATTTACTATCGCTGGTACTAGTTCACCACTATAAATACTATCCCCGGCCCTAGTCCACCTCTATAATTACTATCCATGGTACTAGTTCACCATTATAAGTACTATCTCCGGCTCTAGTCTACCTCTATAATTACTATCCTTGGTACTAGTTCACCTCTATAATTTCTATTCATGGTACTAGTCCACCTCTATATTTACTATCGCTGGTACTAGTTCACCACTATAAATACTATCCCCGGCCCTAGTCCACCTCTATAATTACTATCCATGGTACTAGTTCACCATTATAAGTACTATCCCCGGCTCTAGTCTACCTCTATAATCACTATCCTTGGTACTAGTTCACCACAATAAATACTATCCCCGTCCCTAGCCCACCTCTATATTTACTATCACTGGTACTAGTTCACCACTATTAATACTATCCCCGGCTCTAGCCCACCTCTATAATTACTATCACTGGTACTAGTTCACCACTATAAATACTATCCCCGGCTCTAGTTCACCTCTATAATAACTATCCTTGGTACTAGTTCACCTCTATAATTACTATCCCTGGTACAAGTTCACCACTATTAATACTATCCCCGGCCCTAGTTCACCTCTATAATAACTATCCTTGGTACTAGTTCACCTCTATAATTACTATCCCTGGTACAAGTTCACCTCTATAATTACTATCCTTGGTACTAGTTCACCATTATAAATACTATCCCCGGCTCTAGTCCACCTCCCTAATTATTATCACAGGTACTTGACACCACTATAAATACTATCCCAGGTTCTAGTCCACCTCTATAATAACTATCCTTGGTACTAGTTTACCACTATAAATACTATCCCCGGCTCTTGTCCCCCTCTATAATTATTATCCCTGGTACTAGTTCACCACTATAAATATTATCGGCCCTAGTCCACCTCTATAATTACTATCCATGGTACTAGTTCACCATTATAAGTACTATCTCCGGCTCTAGTCTACCTCTATAATTACTATCCTTGGTACTAGTTCACCACTATAATTTCTATCCATGGTACTAGTCCACCTCTCTAATTACTATCCATGGTACTAGTTGACCACTATAAATACTAACCCCGACCCTAGTCCACCTTTTTAATAACTATCTTTGGTCCTAGTTCACCACTATACATACTATCCCGGCTCTAGTCAACCTCTTAGTTCACCACTATAAATACTATCCCCGGCCCTAGTCCACCTCTTTAATTACTATCCCTTGTTCTAGTTCACCTTTTTAATTTTTGATCCTTGCTCTAGTCCACCTTTCCGTGGTTCTTTGGCTAAAGTGAAACTGTCATTTATAACCACTCACTTCTTAATTTCTTTTGTCCATTGTCATTATTTTTCGCAAGACTATTGCTTTAGCCTTTTTCATTTGTGTAATTATTATCAAAAGGAAAGAATATGTGTTAACTACCCTTAGCTGAAACATGTTTTTCGTGATAAACTGTATATCTAGACTACATTTCAATATTCGTTTTACGAATCACGTTAAGCATTATATGAAGTATGTATCCCAACACAATCTGACAGAAACAAACAACCTCCACATGATCAAGGCGGTGATTAATGAGAAAGATAAGAACATGACCTCACCCTTCGATCGTTCACAAATATAGTTGATTCGCTCGTTACAGGGTCTGTCATTCATCTTGAGGTTGTCGAATCTAACACAATGTTCGCGTGCTCCCTGGTTGTTTGGGTTCCCTGGCATCCACAAGCTACGCGTAACACAGAACAAAACGTAGGACATAATTCAAAGCTGGTCCCGGTATTATCACAACAATCCAGGACAACAATAACAAACGGCTATAACATCCTCAGTTAATGCTGTAAAATCATGCAAACATATATCGAAATAAATACTTGTTTATTATCGAACGGAGATATATTTACTTGTCGTGTCTCACGCTGTTTGTTTTTAACGGCAATAGTGTAATAATATGCTTGTCTATTATTTTTATTGTATATGTCTGTATACTATAATGTAGGTGCTAACATACACGTACAAAATACATGTCTTTAAAGGATATGTCACAGGAACGGTTGTCTAAATGCTAATGTAAAAGGCGCGTCAACGAGGTACTTACAACACCCTTTGGTCAATAACAGAGTGATCTGACCATTGCCAAGTAGAGGCTGCGTCAAGGTCATTCAAGCCAATCCACCATAAAGGGTGGGCGTGTTGGTGGCTTTGTAAGTTTCCAAGTTGTCGTAATATCCATGTCTGTAAATACAAGACAATGTAATGACATATAAACACCACAGCATGTAACTAGGAAAACTACCACGAAAGGAAGGATTCATTTTACTGACAAAAATGCTTCCCCATTGTTATTTCTTTGTAATCGTAGGTTAATCAATGTATTTGTGTCAATACTACTTATCTCGCCCTAAATAAGCTTCAGGTCTTCGCATTCTTAATTAACAATGGTCTCCATCCATCAAACAATCCTATGCACATTGCATTCGATCAATTCCTACGCCACTAACCCGTTCTTGCGTTGTCTCGATTTTTACCAGGTCACCTCCCTGAAGCCTGCACCAGTTTCTAGCCTCGTACCAAGATTTAGCGTCCTGGTACATGTAGCGGTAGCAGCTCTGACCATAGCTTGCCCAGTAAACTGGACACCGCTGACCCACCGCTGAAAGCAAATTGCACATTAAACGTTACGAGGCAAGAACTTTGTTCAGTCGAAGAACGTTTGGTATCGATTGCATTCCGTCTTCCATGTCAAACACCATGCTCAATAAGTGACGGCTAAAATCCTCTGCCCTCATTGTTTTATATATACCATCCATGTTTACGGAACATACTCCAAGTAACAATTAGAAAATAAAATAAATGTCATCCAAAGAATGCAAAATATGAAAGAACTTAAAATTTTGTAGCCATTGGTAAATTTGCATTTTAATCGTTTTTTTCGAAAACATTACATGGAGTGTGATGAGAACATTCATTTTTGTTGAATACTTGTTTACGTACATTTATATTGATATTGTTTGTTTTCTTTTTCTTATTGCGTTGTGATGAACGTGTATTTTATACACCGTTGAATAATGTTTATATGTATCTTCCGGGTATAGTTATAGAGGAGTGTGTCTAATATGCTGTGTGGCCACTCTTGCTGCTCAACAAACAAGCTGTATGATAGTACGGTAGTTCAGAATAATCAGTACATGTTACTACCCTTCACAAAAAAAGCAAAAATTCCTAGGTGAGGCGCCATTTCTTTACAAATCAGCAAATATTAAAATGGTTTTTTAATTGTACAAAACATCACAGAAGAAAGAGATGCCATATTCAAACAATACAATCTACTATCAAGAACAACGAATCGATAAGTCTATCTTAAAAATGGCAACTAATTGAAAAACATACCTTCGACTTGAGAGTTCGATACAACGTTTTGGCAAGCACATATTGTACTGTGAGTGTCTGGCTGTACAATGTATAACATACAATCTTGGTTATGACACTTAAAAGTGAATCAGATGTGATTTACGTTATTTTCTTATTTCTAAAAGTGGTGATTTTCCCTCCAAAGTGGAATATTGAATATTTTTAATAAATATCCATTTAAAATAGATACGCATCTTCGTGGAAATAATGATACTAATACATTGTTGCAGTCTTGTCGATATTTTGGCATTTGTTTTGTAATAAATTAATTGGAATTCAGTGGGTACAGTCACATATAATTTGAATCCAACCACTGAATATTCGTGTTGGTTGAGTACAGCATTTAATGATTGATTCGATTTATTGCTACATATTGTTTAACTGGAGAATCACATAGACAGCAGGTTACAACGAAACAGTTGTTATATTTGCTGAGTAGTTAAAGGACCTTTCTGTTAACGTACAGTAAGCATGCACTGATTTGTCCACATTCCATGAGAGATAAAGGTAACGCACCCACCGGTGATAGCACCTATACAATCATTTTATAAACAGTGTGTCAGAACACACTGCGTCATACATCTGTGTGCTTAACTTAGGACTCATCCATGATACCAGGAGCCAACATGTTGGAAATTGGTCTGAACTATTGTTGAAACAGAAGAGGGGGTGCATATAAACCCTTTATTTTTTGAACCTCAGATTTAGAGATTAACTATTTTTTTCTCCTTTTGTTTTTCTCAGATTTCGTTCGCTGTTAATCCTTGCGTGAACAATGGGGAACTTTATATACAGGCTATTCAGTTTTTCTTTTGGTATTGAACGCCAATATGTCACAATAACACCTGCAAAAAAGTAAAGCGTTTCACGTCGGTGCTTATTAAACGGTCATTTTGTTTTTGTTTGTTATGCCATTTGGCTAAGGAGCACCAAGCACACTATATAAACCATTTACATAGATATTTTTAAATATTAGAAGACGTTATTGTTATAGCGAAGTTTCCTGACATGTGGGAGGACAAAACATGCTATGGCCCGTTGACACATTTTTGTCAGACGTTTATCTACATATACTTCACAGTTGTACTCAGCTGAGGACAAGGGTCGTAGACCTATACGTTCTAACTTGTGGCCTAGTCGCAATCATATGCATGTCATGCAACAGAGTTTGATACCAACCTGTCCATTGATGTAGTTAGCTATATTATAAATGATTTAAGAACACCTTTACCGCGAAACCACATTCATTAATGTACTTTTGGTTTGATAACTTTAACAATTAGTCTAAAAAAAGCTAAATTATCGATGTGTGGCTTCATATTGACTTTAGTTGATATCGTATGTTAAAGAGATGACAATACTACCAATGGTTAACGTTAATTTACACTATACGATCTGAGTTTGATAAATAATACAGATATCTACTATAGTTACTTTATTACTTAATTGGTAATGGTATCGGTACAGTGGAATTATTGCTGTTATGCTACCTAGACACGTTTATAGCTGTACTAGCAATTAACACAAAAGAAGCTATTATCACAAAATCCGATGCAAGCGTTTATTAGTTATAAATGGACTAAATATAATATGCATAACAAATGCTTTCATACGAAACAAATACAGTTCATATACTTACATCGTGGTAATATTTCAGCAAGGTTGTTCGTAAAACTGTTAAATTTATTCAATAAAGCATATCATAATAGCACGCCTTATTCAAGCATTTGGCTTATACGCGTGTGTTAATTAAGGTGCCGGTATCTGAACGAAGAATCAGTTATGTTTTTTTGTAGACATTAGTCCCTACATAAACAACAGTTACATTCCAATCTAAAATTCTGAAAAGTGAAAGGTTATTTTGTAGCACATCCTTAAATAGAACACTTGTACTCGATACACTGTTGAGATACTATCGAAATTATGTAAGAGATAGTGAGCCGGGTACACGTGAACGATATCAAAGTACAGGGAACTAAGATTATACACATTCATGTTAGGTCGCTAAACTAACGTGATACATATTTCTTGTTATATATTAATTAAGTGTTTGAATTTATAACAACTGTCGAGAACAATACATGTATATGTAACATTTAGATAGGAATAACCTCACTGATAACTTAAGTAAAGGTGAAACAATTAAATTATGCGGTCATTATGTTGTATGCACATTAAGTCTGTGGCGATACTGTGTGCTCGTTGTGATCCTGGTAATGGTGTATGTTCATTGTGTTAATTGTAATGTTGCCTACTCAGTGATGTTATTGTATGGTTTTATTCAAGTCATGATCATGGTGTTGTTTGTTTATTAATAACATGGTGATGTTTTATGACTATGAAGAGCTTGCTGATTTGTAGAGTTACGATTGCAATACATATTAAGATCACGGCGATCATGTGTGTTCATTTAGTCATTTTGATGAGATAAAGAAACATATTAAAACTTATTAACCAACTTTATTATCATATTCGTATTTTATGTGTTGAAAATAATGCTTCATGCGGCGAAAAGAACCGCACCATTACATTGTCTTAGATGTTATGTTTCAAATGCACATATGCAAATGAATTTAATTGGGATCCCTGATAAAGAGGAGTGACTTTGTTTGGGTGTCTAGTTGTGTGATTAATTGTGACAGGATATCTACAGCCGTGTTACAACAGGTACTAAATGACCGCAGTATCATACCGTACAGGTAAGGAATGTTTATTCACTGATAAAAATCACATCGATGTACTAATGTGCTATTATATTTGGACCGTGGACGACTTCTTAATCTGATATTCACAACTTCACTCACATTTTGCCTAACACGCTTTTAACACGTGATAGTAGCACTTTTACAATACAAATTAGAACAACACAACACCTTTATTACAAAGATATCCTCAACACAATTCATAACTTCATGGCAGCACTAGATATAACAATATAACATCATAACTATATCACAACAAAAGCTACATTTCGATCTGGAGTAACATAGCCATTTGACCTATATTTACCCTGGAGTAACATAGCCATTGGACCAATATTTACCCTGGAGGAACATAGCCATTTGACCTATATTTACCCTGGAGTAACATAGCCATTGGACCTATATTTACCCTGGAGTAACATAGCCATTGGACCAATATTTACCCTGGAGTAACATAGCCATTTGACCTATATTTACCCTGGAGTAACATAGCCATTTGACCTATATTTACCCCGGAGTAACATAGCCATTTGACCTATATTTACCAGTTGGGTTTCGCCGTTGAAGCAGAAGACGCTTTTCCAAACTATCTGTCATTGAACCTGATATTGAGATGACCATGATTGTCGTACTGTAGGGAAACCCATAGAACATGACAGTTTGACACTGACTAATGATATAGCCACCATGTTGTGGTATTGATATCACTAGTGATGCGCTACTGTGTTATGGTGTTGTGATATGTATAATGAGTGTGAAGACAATATTATACGGTGTTTAAGTATTGTAATAATCAATAATTGTTTATTTAGGTATTGATAATATCAGTGTTAAAGTGTTTTATACGGTAGTTTGATATTGGTAAACTTGATATCGTAATAGTTATAAGGCATCGATAAAATTGATGTTAAAATAGTTTATATAGTATTTTGATATTGTTATAACGAGTGTTGTGGTATTGATGTCTTCATGTTTTGATATCGAATTAGAATTCGTACCGTGGTACTGTCATATTAAGTGTTGGGATATTGTGTCATAAGTGTTACTTCCAGATGTAACAAAGGAGAAGACATATTGTAACTGAAATACCGACAATTCTATTGATAAACTAAAGAAGATGATAGCGTGGTTATACAATAGTAAATGTCATTGTTATCAGTGAATACACACATCTCTAGGTAGTACGGCATGATACTAAGACCCTTCAATACCTCTAGTAACACCAGTGTACCAGTATGGATAACACATCAAAATTATCATAGCCAGTACATTTTTTCAACACAGTTTGTTTGTGTTTTACATCCTATTAACAACTATGGTGATTAAAGGACGTGCCAGGTTTTGGTGGTGGAGGAAAGCCACCAGTACCTGGCGACTGCCCCACGTAGGTCTCGAACCCACAACCCAGTGATGACGGCTAGTGGTAGCAGAAAGTCAGACGCCTTAACCACTTGGCCACCGCGGCCCATCGTGGTCAACATAGTAGAACGTAAAGGATAAACACAAAGCACACAAAACAAGGCGTACACCACAAAACACGTATGGCACAAAACAAGACGAGGCAATCCATAAAACACATATACCACAAAACAGGACATATACCACTACAAGTATGTGAATCCTTATGTCCCAGCTTATCGATAATACCAGATATATATCTGAATGTGTCATGAAAACATTTTTGTAAACAAAACCTTCAATGACCTTAATGAACATAATGACGAGATTTAGCGTAAGTTAGTAGATATATATAACATATTATAATATCTTGTCTACATAACTGCATGTTTTAATGGGTGATATTTATAACATTATTTGGAAATAAAAGATCGTGTCTTTCTCAGGTGCCCGAGTTTCCCCCGGTAATATTTCTCTTATTGGAAGCAGCCACAACGAATGAGTGAAGCAGACGATACCAATGGCGCTTCAATCTGATTATGTAAGATAAATAATTACTATAAATAGTTGTCTGTAATGCTAATTCTGTCTACAAACAAAGAAGCATTGTTATGTTTACTTAATGTTTAGTATCTCATTGTATCTCTGTACATCTGTTCTATGCCTCATAGCTCTAATTTTATTCAAATGTTTATCAACATAAGATATATGCTGCCCAGCATATTGCCTCTACTAAGTCACAATATGTGCGCGTATTTTGCGGAAAATAAGACATGTCCTATAGTCAGATTTGTATTACAGCAGGTTTTTATCAGATATATCTAGAGACATTTTTAGGGGGAAGCGATTAGTGCTGAATGTGCATCATGAATCGTACTTATATCATGTTCATAGTACTTAGGAGATACACGGATATTTGATTGTTCATGTTTGTGTTTATATTAAAGTATTGCGGTTATGGTGGAGTGTTCAATGTATTTACACGCTAGTAGAACACTGAAGACTGTATTGTGTGATCGCGTTGACTACCCATTGTTGTCGTTATGTGGGTTATCGGAGAAGTAGTCCGGGCTATCGGTAACGGTGTCGGTAGGGACTGTTATCTAGCTACTACACTGTGTAGTTGTGATATCTGTATGGCAGTTCCCGTGTAACAACACATTCAAACTATTGGTACAAATTGATACTAGAGTGATTTGATATCAATTCTAATTTTTAATAAGCACCAATAATATATATAAGTAAGTCATATTGATGAGTAACAGACAATCAAACATTCCACATCGTCAACTAATTTAGGCAATAATTGATTTCATCTTAATATTGTCAAAATATACTATTTACATAACTCCTAGTTCGGTTGTACTTCCTGAGATTTACCGGCTGACATTGATTACACATTACATTCATCTTTGACTGTAACAAGACGCAAGTCAGGTACTGACGACTCATCAGTTACAAGTTTACAACACTCTTAAATTAAACAACCTATCACAACAGGACTTAACAACTGATTGCAGAAAGGAACCAATTGATGACAAGACATAAGGGAACAACCAATAACAACAAGACTTCAAGGAAACAACCGATGACAATATAAACTAACGAAAACAACTGAAGACAATATGGTGTAACAGAAAACAACTGATGACAAAATATAAGGATATAACCAATGAAAACAAGACATGCCGGAAACAACTGATGGAAACAAAATATCTAATTATGACGGGTTATCCTTTAAAGGATACCTAACAATATGTATTGTATGGTATATTGTATTGTACATAGTGACTCTAGGCTGATGATGTTTAACTAAAAAAACATAAAAATGTACTGAGAGTCTACAATTCAATAAATTAACATTTCTTTCCCCCCCCCCCCTTTTTTTATTGTTTTCAAGACAAACTTGTTAGCCACAATTATACACATCAATATCTTAAACGATAACGTTATCACGCTTGTGTATAAATCAGACAATGTCTAATGTAATGTGATCGATATGCAAATGTAGATTTGGTGACAGCTGCTCTTAAAAGTTGTGATGTTATGATAACAGTAAGTTATAATAAACAACGCCTCCATAGCTCAGTGGTTAGAGCACTGGTCTTGTAAACCAGGGGTCGTGAGTTCGATCCTCACTGGAGGCTGATTGAGTTATTGTATTTAAACATGATACGAAATGTCATATTTTGAGTTAGGACAATGTATTCGAACATGTGTTTCACAAAAAAAAGTCGAAATTAATTGGTACAATGATACGAGTCGCATATGATATTAATGGAATTTCATATATGGAATTTATCTGGTTCATTAGTGGCCAGAAATGTTCAAATAATTATGTCAGAAGAACGTTCTAACGGTTCGTTTATGAAATGCACTTTTGAATGACAAATAACAACTGATTTTATCTATTTATGTTATTTCCTCGTATACATAAAATATATGTGCGGATGATTACGTTTCGTTAGTATATTCTTCGCCGATTCTGTTTCGCTATCATTATGTCCGCCCATTATTGTCTGTATTTTGTACTGATTGTCATTTGACACTCGATCCTTGGAATTCATGAGTGCTAGCAGTGATTTTATTTTCAGTGTTTGTTACCCTGCCTCATCAGTTGTCAAAAGGTCCTATACCTTCGTAAAGAAAAGGATTTCCCCATAAATCTACTTCAGCCCATGACTGTTGTCATTGAAAAAACAACTAAAATAAAAAAAAATAACTATACGACTTCGCTTAATGAAATAACGACTAACGAGAGAGCGGCTTTCATTTCGTCTTTTTAAATGGAAAAAAGTCGATCCTAAAATGAAACTGGAAAATTTTAGTTTTGATCAATAAAAAGCGAGAGTATCTGTTAAAGGTCATGTCAAGATCAGTCAGGTTTGTAGAACGCCGTTGTTCAGCGAAGCTATAAGGATTCGGGCTATCCATGTTGTTGATATTACCTGCCGACCGATATACCCGAATCGTCACGACGATTTTCCTACAAATAATAATCCGTTTGATACTCAAGCAATGTTTAAATTAAGGAAACAATCATGATCTTTAAGTACACTCGCTTTTGGGATACCTGAAGGCTTACGAGTAAGGGGCGACCAGCAAATTATTAACTAAAAACTGACGTATGAGATCGTTACATTTCAGTACACTGTATTACTATAATATGTGTAAGTTATACATTGCGATATATGTATGGTATTGTATTTACTTCATAACTACAATCAAACATAACTACAATCAAACATAACCACAATCAAACATAACCACAATCAAACATAACTACAATCAAACATAACTACAATCGTCCTTCAAACGCGTCCATCAATACCCGTGTTGATGCTCAAGTTGCTTCCTTAACTCCTGAAACGATCAACATCGACAAAAATGATTCGAAGACACAATAATGAGGTCATGTGACCATAACTTAAAATGCGGCTTAAATGTTGCGAATTCGTTCTTGTTCTGATTTGTCGAATTGATTACTTGATCAAGACCGATGAGTTCCGCCGAAAATTAGTTCAGGCTACAGGGGCAACACAACATATTGTGTTATCACAGTGTGTTTTACTGGACCTTGTATCGCATGGGCTGTATAGATCGGGTCATCAGTTATATAATAAATAGTACTATATTATGTGATCATTTTCTAAACGGTTGACAAATGCAGTGCTACTAGTGGCTATTTATTCACGAACCAACGATAATTACGTTACAAATACTGTGTTCATATGTTTCAATAGAACCTGTAGATCAATCTTGAAAATATATCTGTCTGTGTTTCAAAATATGTATGTGTTTCAAATATATACAAAGCTTGATGCCTTGGACATTGGTCTGGTAGCCACGTGTCTTTAGTTCGATTCTGCATCAGTGGCCAATTTCAACATTTATGTACAGTTTTAATACTACTTGTAATTTGTGATTTAACCAAACAAACACATCATTCCTTCGTGTGCAATGGTATTTAATGTTGATTAAAACATTAATAGATTTGATGTTGTCATAACATATAGGCTTATCTAATGGGGAGCTTTTCATATTAATCACCATTAAACAGCATATTAAACGACTTAACTTTTAGGCAGATCAGAAGACTTTTGTAAATAATTGATTATTATTATTATGGTTGGTCTGAAGAGAAAAATATTTATAATGATATTCATCAGTTTATGATTCCAAACAGTGTTATCATCTTGCATTGCGGGTAATTAATTCCTTTACACGAGGGGAGGGTATTTCTAAAATTGACGTGCAAAAAAAAAAGCATCATCTCTCTATTATATGTGTCATGTCTGGTCTAATTAGCAACTACCATTTGGTTGGACACTTTCCATAACGTTCTTTGTCTCCATGGAAAAAAAAGAGAACACTTACCCCATTGTAATTGCAGACAAAACAGAAATACAAACGCCGTAGTCTTGATCAGGATGTTAGGTGGCATGTTGTTAGGTTAATAGTATTGCTTTACCTAGAAACTAAACAACCTCATCATACCAAGTGAGATGTGCATCTGACCCGGGGGCGTTCCTTCATGTACTTCCACAAGATGAGGTTAGCTAAAGGGTGTTTCTTTTTACGATTATCCCTAATGTGCCCCTTATGTTGACGTATTAGCTTTAATATTAGATATTAAAATATAGAATCACGTATATACACATCTATACCACTGATTGTGAAGAAACGTCCCCGAGGTTTGTCTCGAGTGTGGACGATAGATGGTACGGATAAGATAACAGAGTATCGTCCACAAATACTCCACATCTTGTCTACGGTTCATATTTATACCCGTGACCTGTCCAATCGAGCACGATCTTCATGCATATTTAGGGATTAAACGCATTTTTGTTAACATCCGTAGTGTCATAAACGAAAAAAGGTTACATTTATATAGAATGAAGCCAGGTTGAATATAGGTAAAACAGGTTCGTATCCATGCCGCATCGATGTTTTAAAGGACTTTCAATAGTCTATTTGTACTCTAAATATTTTTACTAATGATCAAAATGAATTATTTCCGTAATATTTGTGATTTCAATGTGTCTGTATTGTTAATTCAAATGGTGTTCCTAGATACTAATCCTTTTCTCTCTCGTTCTGGGTCTAATAGCGAGTTGTAGCGCAGATGTAAATATCATTTGCTAATAACTTTGGCAACTTAACATCATTTTAACAAACAGAAATGTATCAATATATAGATTTATTACATACATAGAAAATAATACATGCCTTTTTCCATATCACACCCAGTATCAACCCGAGACTGCAATATCAGCCCAAGGGCCGAAGGCCCGAGGGCTAATATTGGTCTCGGGTTGAAACTGGGTGTGATATGGAAAAAGGCGTGTTTTATTCTGTTTTTTACATACTTACTAATAAAAACTACTATCTTATGATTTATTTTTATTTTTGGAATATTGAAAAACGAAAAAAAATCCAAAAGGGGTGTAATATGGGTTTTGCGGGCTGATACGGCGGGCGCTGATACGGATTTTGGGGGGTGATACGGCGAGGGCTGATATGGGTTAGAGCAATTGTGTCGTATGGCATATACAAAAACCCCGTATTTATTACTAAGTATGTAATACTAACCAATAAATACGGATTTTGTACATGTGATACGACACATTTTCTCTAACCCTTATCAGCCCTCGCCGTATCACACCCTAAAACCCGTATAAGCCCTCTCCGTATCAGCCCGCAAAACCCGTACCACTCCCCTTTTGATTTTTTTTTCGTTTTTCAATATTTCAAAAGAAAAAAAGATCATAAAATAGTAGATTGTTCCGTAGTAAACAGAATAAAACATGCCCTTTTCCATATCACACCCAGTATCAACCCCAGACCAATATCGGGTTGATACTGGGTGTGATATACAAGATACAAGATACAAGAATTTGTATTTAGAGTGGTGTTTGTAACAATGCAACTTTAGCTCAGAAGAGCTGTTCTTACGACTATATGGAAAAAGGCATGTATTATTCTCTATATAAGGTGATTCGAGTTATTGCTGAATCAACGTTATAACTAAAGCGACAGACATTGTAAACAATCAGTCTTACTCATATTGTAAAACCTCTATCGGATTATGTTAGATGTACACAGGCTGAAAGACCTTTCCTAGATCATACGCAAGATCTTTTCAAAATACGGAACGATTTCGACAGTAACAAATACAGCTGATGTGAGAAGTCCACCAATTAAGATAAGACCTCGGCTTTATCACATACCTATATAATCTTACAATAGTAAAACAACCATTTTCTGTTGATGTTTTCTGTCGGTTTGTATCACACATGTGTATCGATCTATAACAAATATGTGATAAAAGCAAGACCTTGTGTTTTTCTAACGAATCAGAAAGCACCCAAGAGTGTGGTTTTGCATATTTATCATAATTATACAGACATTAGTTTTGGTGTGTCACTGTTATTTGATATAAGGTCTCTTGTTGAATGTGTCAGGTCACTCTTAGTTATAGAACATCTAGACTATGTTATAGTAGGTTGTCCATTGGTTGGCTCGGAGGGATATTGGCAGTATCTGGGTCAACAAAGTAGATGTGATATGCGTTTCTGACATAATTACAAATGTCAAAACTACATATCTTACTGAAAACACAAGAACCATTTCATCTCTTTATTTGATTAATCTATTCCTTACAGATAGGAATCTGGAGCTTAACTTGTAGAGTTAATAGCGACTGACTCTCTCCATCATCCTCCGTAGGGCGGTGATCTGGAACCCGTGTTTAGTCGCTGTAAAGGGGATGGTAGAATGTATTTACATTTAATCAGTTGTTGACTGTTGTAGTTGAAAGAAATTCGAATGAAATCCATTGGTATTTGTCGGGGAATAATAATTGATTTATTTGTTGTAAGTATGATTAAAAAACTTGAGTAAAATAACTTCACTCACATTATCTGTTTCTTCCTTTACAACGGTCGGAAAATTAACTTTTCATTTTAACTCTCTATACATTTAGCTTAGAGTTATTAACATTAAACAATATCTCACAGGTACATTCTGTCGATTTCGCATTTTTTTAATATTGAAAACCTTGAAGAAACTGCGATTTGAAAAGAACCATAAAGAGTAAATTATTTTTACTTTGTTTCTATTCAAACAGACATTGTAGAATCCCCCATCAGTTCAACCAAGATGCACCATAGCTTCTGTTTATGGTTATTAGTATATATCTTATATGCCTGTATATTTAGTTACCGTAGTATACCCCTGTGTATCCCCACCAGTCCCAGCAGCCGTTAGGATTGGACACAGTGGGGATAACCTGAGGGTAGAGTATGATGATGTTGTTGAGCTCCGCCACTTCGTTATAACCGGTGTGTCGTACGTATATATCGCCTATAGTTTTCCTGAAAAACATACCCAATGGTCACAACATGTACGAAAACGCTTGCTAACAATGATCTTGTAGAAAAGAAAATTTTGAGCAAAGGTATGGCTAGGAAAGCTGCTGGTAGTAATTTGTCTTTCCATAACTTGAAACTTGCCTACAATAGAAATGGTGAAGATGGACTCAAAAGTGTATTATCTGAGACATGTGTAAGTGTAAGAGTAACAAAGTCTGCTAAGATCATTCAAGCTGTGTCAAATTACTTTTCTGAGTCCTTAAGTTAAGCAATTTAATAGCAAGTAAACATAATGTGAGCATGGCTTGCACATATCTAAAACTTTACACAGTGATATACCCTTGTCCGTCTGTAGGTATGCATGTATGTCCATCCCGATTTGGTTCTATTTTAAGTGTAGGTCCATTTCTCAGATAGTAGACATTGTATAGCAATGATACTTGGGTCAGTTTATAGATCTTTGGTAGTACAATGTGGTTCACTGTTAGCTAGGTCACTGTGATCTACAGTTTACGCATGAATGACTCCGGTTAATTTTGCTTTTAGGTCTATTTCTCAGATAGGTCCAATTCTCAAATGCTATACATGGAATAGCATTGATACTTGGCTAGTGGGAAGATTTTACGTGTGTTGAAGGGATTAAGGGATTTTATCTCAGTTTGTTCTGGAGGATTCTTAGGCCAAGGCAGTGGGTTTGGTCCCCAGGGCAGAGGGGCGGGGCCCAATAGTGGAAATAGAGGTATAACCTTTGAAATCCTTCTTTTACCATAGGGATTACGGGATTTTATCTCAATTTTGTCTCCATCAAGTTGTCTAGTAGTGCCTGTTATTATTTGGGTGTATTCATTAAAACAAGATGGCCTCTAGGCCGCCATCTTGGATTTTGTCATATGAAGTTTGTTCTTGCTATTTCTGCAGAAAAACTGGATAGATCTTCCTGAAATTTCGTATGTACATGCAGTACCTACCATAGAGTGCTATATCTTCATAGCCTCATATCAAGTACTTTAAACACTAGCCAGGTGGAAAATATTAAATAACTGAAAATTTTGGTCCATAACAAATTTTTAGTTTGTTTTCTAATGAACAAGAATTGTTTAACCTTTCAAATGCCAAAATTATATTAAATTGTAGATTTTGGTTATATATGAAATATGATGTTGTTATGGAATGGTGTTAAATACATAGCGAAACCTGTGATTCTGTAGTATGTTATATATATGACCTAAGTGGTGTCTTAAATACAATTGTTATGAAGATGCATGAGATAAATGATATTTTTTAAGCTTCTATACCTCATATCAGGTAAATATCATTGATAAAGGTATCAAGATATGGGATTTCATAGGCGGAACAATTAAAAAATTCAGGTGTTTTCAGGAGGCCATATTTTTTTAACAAAGCCGATAAGGTATCATTATTATAGCGTTTTTTTGTTCCTTCCATATTATTCTTTTAAAATAACTATGGTTTACAAAATTGTTGATTTCTTAACATTTTCTTATTTTACCTGACTACATCCTTAATGGCCAATAGTATATCAAACAATCAAAATCAGTTACGTTTAATATATTGATGACGTAGCTGGGTGTTTTTTTTAATTAACGACGGCAATCATTGGTATTGAATTTAACAAGTATATACATTCCTTGTGTAAGTCAGTAGCGTTATTTTTGCAGATACTTGATAATGCGTGAACAACAACTTATCTTAGTGTATATATAGTTGATCCATACCTCCCCATACGACAGCCGTGTAGCGCAATGTGTAACCGACAGGCTGAAACAACACATGTAACGAGAACTGTCATAAGGTTTAACAACACAAGGTACAACTGTACATGTACGTCCTACGTTAATCTCAACCCATGGTAGGCCATATCCAAACACCACAATTAGACATCAGTGTTGATTTATGCACATTAAATATATTCAACTTGAACTTTGACTCGGAACGAATTTTATTAGTCAGAAATAAGGCATTAAGATTGATGTCAACATAAAGATAGTTCCTCGACATTTTAATATGTAAATCTCTTTTGTAATCTAACTGAATGCTACGAAATGTGACACCTTATCTAAGTTCATTTACATACTAAGGTCTTGTGGAGCTTGATTTCTCTTAACGTCATGTAGATATTGTAAGAGAACATTAGCCACTATTCCAGATGGTTGTGGCCAGTCAAAAACAGAATTACTAAATATTTCGATATCGAATTTAAACAGTATTTAAAGGTTAATCCGAAAGTAATTTAACCTAGATTAATTTTATTTTGATTTTCAGATAAAGTTGAATTTCATAACATTTAATGTTATTATTAGGCTTGAGATGGTAAAAAACGTTGTAAATATATATTTACATAATGTTCATCACATGTCAAGATCATATGTGATAACACTCCTGTCCATGTTACAAAAGGAGATGTTATATAAAGTTCCTGTAATAATATAGGTCACGTTACACTTTGTGCACTGGTTTGGTATGTAGCCAAGTAATTTTACTCAAACTGCAGTTCCGACGTGTCATACCATTTTGATCTGAGGTATCAAAGAGTTGGTATAGAAATGAATTTTACATTAGGTGTCCTTTAGTAGCATCCAGTTTGGTTACAAAAGAGGTTAACATGTTATACTATCGGTTACCTATTTTTCATTAAGTTATCTGCTTAAATGCGTTATTTCAGTTCAAGCTAAATCCGTTATGTATCATTTGAATAACTGGAATTCATGTTATTTACTGTGACCATGCCATTTTTCAGTGGTTTGTTAAATCTTAAGATAGAGTATACATAGTTAACTGTGTAATCTCTCATAGGTATTATACATGGGTAATTGTAAAATCCCACAGCATATAAGCAATGCATATCTTCTAGCTACACGTGTGAGATTTAATAAAATATCAACAATATATACATCTGCGATGATACTCTGTTTATCACAAAAGCATGTATACCTTACCTGCATCTTACTTCCTTCTTAATATATATAATTTGTTAAAACTCGTAAAAAATAGTTCTGACGTTTACTTGTTGGACAGAACAATAGGTTTTCTCTTGTGTACATCTGTTATTACTTTATATAGATACCAAAATCATCTGTCTGGGTTTTATACATGCCACTGATGAAAATGAATCTTATGAGTTCTCTGCAGATAATTATGTATTTTGTAAATTTCCACGATTCTACCTATAAATGTAACGTTGGAGGATTTATCGATATGTTAAGTTACTAAACAGATGCATCCCCTTTATATAATAAATAAATGTGTTCTGTTATATAAGACAGTGTATCTAACTAAACATCTACCATGTATATATAAAACTACATTTCGTCTACCTTGAAGTTTACAGAATACAATACAACTACACAAGTAAAATAAGACACTAACAGAGCTTTTGTATCAAACGTTTTCTTAGATGAAAGTTCCTGCCGAACACTGTGGCGATGACAGTAAGATGCAGGTAAGGAGATGTATGTTCCTACCGAACAATGTTGCGATGACAGTAAGATACAGTTAAGGAGATGTATGATCCTGCCGAACACTGTGGAGATGAAAGAAAGATGCAGGTAAGCAGGTGCATATTCTTACCGAACAATGCGGCAATGACAGTAAGATGCAGGTAAACAGTTGCATGTTCCTACCGAAAACTGTGGCGATGACAGTAACTACTGAACACTGTGGCGATGACAGTTAGATACAGGTAAGCAGGCGCATGTTCCTACCGAACATTGTGGCAATAACAGTAAGATGCAGGTAAGTAAGATGCAGGTAAGCAGACGCATGTTCCTGCCGAACACTGTAGCAATGACAGCAAGACGCAGGTAAGCAGATGCATGATGCATGTTCCTGCCGAACACGGTGGCGATGACAGTAAGATACTGGTAAGGAGATGTATGATCCTGCCGAACACTTTGGCGATGCCAGTAAGATACAGGTAAGGAGATGTATGATCCTGCCGAACACTGTGGATATGACAGTAAGATGCAGGTAAGCAAATGCATGTTCCTGCCGAACACGGTGGCGATGACAGTAAGATACAGGTAAGAAGATGTATGATCCTGCCGAACACTTTGGCGATGCCAGTAAGATACAGGTAAGGAGATGTATGAGCCTGCCGAACACTGTGGCGCTGACAGTAAGATACAGGTAAGAAGATGTATGATCCTGCCGAACACTTTGGCGATGCCAGTAAGATACAGGTAAGGAGATGTATGATCCTGCCGAACACTGTGGCAATGGCAGAAAGATGCAGGTAAGCAGATGCGTATCCTGCCGAACACTGTGGCTATGACAGTAAGATACAGGTAAGCAGATGCAACACTGTGGCGATGACAGAACCTACTGAACACTGTGGCGCTGACAGTAAGATACAGGTAAGCAGATGCAACACTGTGGCGATGACAGTGGGGGCCGAACACTGTGGCGATAACAGTACGTGCCAAACACTGTGGCGATAACAGTTCCTACCAAACACTGTGGCGATGACAGTCAGATGCAGGTAAGCAGATGCATGTTCCTGCCGAACACTGTAGCGATGACAGCAAGACGCAGGTAAGCAGATGCATGTTCCTGCTGAACACTGTGGCGATGACAGTACCTACCAAACACTTTGGCGATGACAGTCAGATGCAGGTAAGCAGATGCATGTTCCTGCCGAACACTGTGGCGGTGACAGCAAGATGCAGGTAAGCAGATGCATGTCCCTGCCGAACACTGTGGCGATGACAGCAAGATGCAGGTAAGCAGATGCGTTTCCTGCCGAACACTGTGGCGATGACAGTACCTACCAAACACTGGCGATGACAGTCAGATACAGGTAGGCAGATGCATGTTCCTGCCGAACACTGTGGCGATGACAGCAAGATGCAGGTAAGCAGATGCGTTTCCTGCCGAACACTGTGGCGATGACAGTACCTACCAAACACTGGCGATGACAGTCAGATACAGGTAAGCAGATGCATGTTCCTGCCGAACACTGTTGCGATGACAGCAAGATGCAGGTAAGCAGATGCAGGTTCCTGCCGAACACTGTGGCGATGACAGTTAGATGCAGGTAAGCAGATGCATGTTCTTACCGAACACTGTGCAGATGACAGTAAGATGCAGGTAAGCAGATGCATGTTCCTGCCGAACACTGTGGCGATGACAATATGAGGCAGGTAAGCAGACGCATGTTCCTGCCGAACACTGTGGCGATGACAGCAAGATGCAGGTAAGCAGATGCGTTTCCTGCCGAACACTGTGGCGATGACAGTACCTGCCAAACACTGTGGCGATGACAGTAAGATGAAGGTAAGCAGATGCATGTTCCTGCCGAGCACTGTGGCAATGACAGTAAGATTAAGGTAAGCAGATGCATGTTCCTGCCGTACACTGTGGCGATGACAGTAAGATGCAGGTAAGCAGACGCATGTTCCAGCCGAACACTGCGGCGATGACAGTAAGATGAAGGTAAGAAGATGCATGTTCCTGCCGAACACTGTGGCGATGACAATATGATGCAGGTAAGCAGACGCATGTTCTTGCCGAACACTGTGGCGATGACAGTAAGATGCAGGTAAGCAGATGCATGTTCCTGCCGAACACTGTGGCGATGACAGCAAGATGCAGGTAAGCAGATGCAGGTTCCTGCCGAACACTGTGGCGGATGCATGTTCCTGCCGAACACTGTGGCGATGACAGGAAGATGCAGGTAAGCAGACGCATGTTCCAGCCGAACACTGCGGCGATGACAGTAAGATGAAGGTAAGAAGATGCATGTTCCTGCTGAACACTGTGGCGATGACAGTAAGATGCAGGTAAGCAGACGCATGTTCCAGCCGAACACTGTGGCGATGACAGTAAGATGAAGGTAAGAAGATGCATGTTCCTGCCGAACACTGTGGCGATGACAATATGATGCAGGTAAGCAGACGCATGTTCCTGCTGAACACTGTGGCGATGAGAGTAAGATGCAGGTAAGCATCTGCATGTTCACACTGTGGCGATGGAAGTAAGATGCAGGTAAGCAGACGCATGTTCCTGCCGAACACTGTGGCGATGACAGTACCTACCAAACACTGTGGCGATGACAGTAAGATACAGGTAAGCAGAAGTATGTTCCTGCTGAACACTGTGGCAATGACCGTAAGATACAGGTAAGCAGATGCATGTTTCTACCGAAAACTGTGTCGATGACAGTAAGATACAGGTAAGCAGATGCATGTTCATACTGTGGCGATGGTAGTAAGATACAGGTAAGCAGATGCATGTTCCTACCGAAAACTGTGGCGATGACAGTAAGTTACAGGTAAGCAGATGCATGTTTATACTGTGGCGATGACAGTTAGATGCAGGTAAGCAGATGCATGTTCCTGCCGAACACTGTGGCGATGACAGTAAGATGCAGGTAAGCAGACGCATGTTCCTACCGAACATTGTGTCGATGACAGTAAGATGCAGGTAAACAGTTGCATGTTCCTACCGAAAATTGTGGCGATGACAGTAAGATGCAGGTAAGCAGATGTATGTTCCTACCGAACATTGTGGCAATAACAGTAAGATGCAGGTAAGCAGATGCATGTTCCTACCGAACACTGTGGAGATGACAGAAAGATGCAGGTAAGCAGGTGCATATTCTTACCGAACAATGCGGCAATGACAGTAAGATGCAGGTAAGCATATGCATGTTCACACTGTGGCGATGGTAATAAGATGCAGGTAAGCAGATGCATGTTATTACCGAACACTGTGGAGATGACAGTAAGATGCAGGTAAGCAAATGCATGTTCCTATCGAACATTGTGGCGATGACAGTAAGATGCAGGTAAAAGATGCATGTTCCTACCGAACACTGTGGAGATGACAGTAAGATGAAGGTAAGCAGATGCATGTTCCTACTGAACACTGTGGCGATTACAGTAAGATGCAGGAAAGCAGACGCATGTTCCTACCTAACACTGTAGCGATGACAGTAAGATGCAGGTAAGCAGACGCATGTTCCTACCTAACACTGTGGCGATGACAGTATGATGCAGGTAAGCAGATGCATGTTCCTACTGAAAACTATGGCGATGACAGTAAGATGCAGGAAAGCCGATGCATTATCACACTGTTGCGATGACAGTAAGATGCAGGTAAGCAGATGCATTATCACACTGTTGCGATGGCAGTAAGATGCAGGTAAGGAGAAGTATGTTCCTACGGAACATTATGTCGATGACAGTAAGATGCAAGTAAGGATATGTATGTTCCTGCCGAACATTGTGGCGATGACAGTAAGATGCAAGTAAGCAGATGCATGGTCCTGCCGAACACTGTGGCGATGACAGTTAGATGCAGGTAAGCCGATGCATGTTCCTACCGAACACTGTTGCGATGACAGTAAGATGAAGGTAAGCAGATGCATGTTCCTACCGCAGTAAGATGCAGGTAAGCAGATGCATTATCACACTGTTGCGATGACAGTAAGATGCAGGTAAGCAGATGCATTATCGCACTGTGGCGATGACAGTAAGATGCAGGTAAGGAGAAGTATGTTCCTACCGAACACTGTGTCGATGACAGTAAGATGCAAGTAAGCAGATGCATGTTCCTACCGAACACTGTGGCAATGACAGTAAGATGCAGGTAAGGAGATGTATGTCCCTACCGAACAATGTGGCGATGACAGTAAGGAGCAAGTAAGCAGATGCATGTTCCTACCGAACAATGTGGCGATGACAGTAAGGAGCAAGTAAGCAGATGCATGTTCCTACCGAACAATGTTGCGATGACAGTATGATGCAAGTAAGCAGATGAATGTTCCTACCGAACACTGTGGCGATGACAGTAAGATGCAGGAAAGGAGATGTATGTTCCTACCGAACAATGTTGCGATGACAGTAAGATGCAGGTAAGCAGATGCAGGTTCCTGCCGAACACTGTGGGGATGACAGTAAGATGCAGGTAAGCAGATGCCTGTTCCTGCCGAACACTGTGGCGATGACAATAATATGCAGGTAAGCAGATGCAGGTTCCTGTCGAACACTGTGGGGATGACAGTAAGATGCAGGTAAGCAGATGCCTGTTCCTGCCGAACACTGTGGCGATGACAATAATATGCAGGTAAGCAGATGCAGGTTCCTGTCGAACACTGTGGGGATGACAGTAAGATGCAGGTAAGCAGATGAATGTTCCTGCCGAACACTGTGGCGATGACAATAATATGCAGGTAAGCAGATGCAGGTTCCTGCCGAACACTGTGGGGATGACAGTAAGATGCAGGTAAGCAGATGTATGTTCCTACCGAACACTTTGGCGATGACAGTAAGATGCGGAGAAGTATGTTCCTACCGAACAATGTGGCGATGACAGAATGATGCAAGTAAGCAGATGCATGTTCCTACCGAACAACGTGGCGATGACAGTTAGATGCAGGTAAGGAGATGTATGTTCCTGACAGTAAGATGCAGGTAAGCAGATGCATTATAACACTGTTGCGATGACAGTAAGATGCAGGTAAGTAGATGCATGTTCCTACCGAACACTGTGGCAATGACAGTAAGATGCAGGTAAGGAGATGTATGTCCCTACCGAACAATGTGGCGATGACAGTAAGGAGCAAGTAAGCAGATGCATGTTCCTACCGAACAATGTTGCGATGACAGTATGATGCAAGTAAGCAGATGCATGTTCCTCCCGAACAATGTTGCGATGACAGTAAGCTGCAGGTAAAGAGATGTCTGTTCCTGTCGAACACTGTGGCGATGACAGTAACATGCAGGTAAGGAGATGTATGTTCCTACCGAAATATGTGTCGATGACAGTAAGATGCAAGTAAGCAGATGCATGTTCCTCCCGAACAATGTTGCGATGACAGTAAGATGCAGGTAAAGAGATGTATGTTCCTGCCGAACACTGTGGCGACGACAGTAAGATGCAGGTAAGGAGATGTATATTCCTGCCGAACACTGTGGCGATGACAGTAAGATGCACGTAAGGAGATGTATGTTCCTACCGAACAATGTTGCGATGACAGTATGATGCAAGTAAGCAGATGCATGTTCCTCCCGAACAATGTTGCGATGACAGTAAGCTGCAGGTAAAGAGATGTCTGTTCCTGTCGAACACTGTGGCGATGACAGTCAGATGCAGGTAAGGAGATGTATGTTCCTACCGAAATATGTGTCGATGACAGTAAGATGCAAGTAAGCAGATGCATGTTCCTTCCGAAGAATGTGGCGATGACGGTAAGATGCAGGTAAGGAGATGTATGTTCCTCTACCTAACACTGTGGCGATGACAGTATGATGCAGGTAAGCAGATGTATGTTCCTACCGAACACTTTGGCGATGACAGTAAGATGCAGGTAAGCAGGTGCATGTTCCTACATAACAAGATGCATGTTCCTACCGAACAACGTGGCGATGACAGTTAGATGCAGGTAAGGAGATGTATGTTCCTGCCGAACAATGTGGCGATGACAGTAAGATGCAAGCAACCGAACACTGTGGCGATGACAGTACCTACCAAACACTGTGGCGATGACAGTAAGATGCAGGAAAGGAGATGTATGTTCCTACCGAACAATGTGGCGATGACAGTATGATGCAAGTAAGCAGATGCATGTTCCTACCGAACAATGTTGCGATGACAGTAAGATGCAGGTAAAGAGATGTATGTTCCTGTCGAACACTGTGGCGATGACAGTAAGATGCATGTAAGCAGATGCATGTTCCTCCCGAACAATGTTGCGATGACAGTATGATGCACGTAAGCAGATGCATGTTCATACCGAACAATGTTGCGATGACAGCACTGTTGCGATGACAGTAAGATGGAGGTAAGGAGATGTATGTCCCTACCGAACAATGTGGCTATGACAGTAAGATGCAGGAAAGGAGAAGCATGTTCCTACCGAACAGTGTTGCGATGACAGTAAAATGCAGGTAAGGAGATGTATGTTCCTGCCGAACACTGTGGCGACGACAGTAAGATGCAGGTAAGGAGAAGTATGTTCCTACCGAACACTGTGGCGATGACAGTAAGATGCAGGTAAGCAGATGCATGTTCCTACCGAAAACTGTGTCGATGACAGTAAGATACAGGTAAGCAGGTGCATGTTCCTGCCGACCACTGTGGCGATGACAGTAAGATGCAGGTAAGGAGATGTATGTTCCTACCGAACAATGTGGCGATGACAGTATGATGGAAGTAAGCAGATGCATGTTCCTACCGAACAATGTTGCGATGACAGTAAGATGCAGGTAAGGAGATGGATGTTCCTGCCGAACACTGTGGCGATGACAGTAAGATGCAGGTAAGCAGGTGCCTGTTCCTACCTAACAATGCGGCAATGACAGTAAGATGCAGGTAAGCAGATGCATGTTCATACTGTGGGGATGACAGTAAGATGCAGGTAAGCAGATGTATGTTCCTACCGAACACTGTGGCGATGACAGTAAGATGCAGGTAAGCAGGTGCATGTTCCTACCGAACAATGCGGTAATGACAGTCAGATGCAGGTAAGCAGATGTATGTTCCAGCCGAAAACTGTGGCGATCACCGTAAGATGCAGGTAAGGAGATGCATAGTCCTGCCGAACACTGTGGCGATGACAATAATATGCAGGTAAGCAGATGCAGGTTCCTGCCGAACACTGTGGGGATGACAGTAAGATGCAGGTAAGCAGATGCAGGTTCCTGCCGAACACTGTGGCAATGACAGAAAGATGCAGGTAAGCAGATGCATGTTCCTGCCAAACACTGTGGCGATGACAGTAAGATGCAGGTACGGAGATGTATGCTTTTGTTTAATACAGGGTATAAACAAATGACACCTACACATATTTATTCCTCCCACACACAATAACACAATTGAATATCCTTCCCATAGCAGCAGTAAAATGCAAAACACTCGAGGGTTGTAAGGCACACATACCCTTATACAGTCCCTGTACGCCAGCTTTTACCTTTTGTCTTATACCCTGCACAAAACAAAAAAGCTTATCACTGTAAATAGCCCCTTCTTTCACGCCTCTGGGCACAGGTTCCCGAAGGCACAATCATCAGTGTTGATAGACCCTCTGTAAACTAAAGAAGAAGATGTAAGAATGAATACTTTACCCGAGATCCTTTGTGAGCAGACTTCCGGTACATAGACATATCCGGTTATGTCCATGCTGTATGTGGAAGGAGACGACAGGTGAAAAAATTCGTTCTGGTCAAATTTCATCAGCTTTAAAAATAAGATAAATAAATAGTAAACGACATGTACAACATGAACATGTCTCCATTGCATTTCAATACGCAGCCTGAAGTATAAGAGACATAGAGGTTTCCCAACGAGTGATAGTTGGTTATCGTGCTTATCTAACTCCAGAGGTTTACTGAGTGTCTGTTTCAATATAAAAATTAACTAACGAGACTTCGTTTTTCACCCACAATATTAAGATACTGTGTCAAGGAAACCTATTTGGAATACAGGTAAGGCCATTTAAGTCCGTGGCTCTATGTGTGTTGTGTAAGCGTGCATGTGTGTATGTATGCTGTAGGCAGGGTATCTTGGTGTATCTACCTCCTTGTGATAGCGCGGATCTGATGCCGGCGTTATGATGCTATCTCACTGAAATATCATACAGACCGAGAGTAATCATAATAGTTCTCACAATCAACCCCGCTGGCGTATCTTTATAAAAGTAACAAAATTGACCTACATTCTTTAAAAATTGGATTACTTTACACTTACGTTTCCTGAGACAGACGTGTCATTCATTGGTTTCTGAAGAAAAAAAAGCACAAACAATGATATGGAGCTTTCTCAAATGCGTTTAATAAACATTGTGTATGTTCAGACATTTGTTTGTTAAAAATGTAAGCTTACTTAATAGATTTCACAACTATTAAAAAAAAAATATATCTTATATCAATCAAGATTCAAGAAGCTTTATTTAACGTCGCATATACATGTAACATAATAACATTAGCACTGTAGTGCTATTCTTGCGACAAATCACTCTGCTTTACATTGATAGGGGTCTTGTTGTTGGAGGAAACTTGAGTACCCGCATACAACCTATGTCATTAAATCGTGCATATGCCGAAAATTCATACGGTACCAGTAGTCGTTGCGATCAATCTCTATTGTGAAGTGGTGGAATAACGGAACATTCACATAAAAATAAGGTTATATTATAACGGTGTTTCCATATCTTGACAATTTTAATGACCTCGGAGTTTACACAAAGGGGTTTCTTTCTCTACAACTCTGATGTGTTTGTAAAACTATCATTTCCGTGTTCGATAATCTGAAAAAGGGTAGACAACTCAATCGTTTTATAAAATACAAATAGGAATTATTTGAAGAAATGTGAAGCCGATCCTTCTGTGTAGATGTGAAATTTGGGCTTTTGTAAAAAACAACTGTTATAGAAAGAGTTCGCGAATAATGTATCGGAACTAGTCAATATTCAGATTTAAACCGTTAAACCTAGTTGAACGTTGTTAGGGTCATCTTTTCGGAGGATGATATTTTTAGAGTGTCCACAGCACCATAACAACAGAATAAAATCGACAGGGTCAAAACTCCTTTGATCACGTGAACGTTTTGAAAATGTCTTCAGTTATGAGTTACTCAACCATGAAAGAAAAACAGAGAAATCTCTAATATATATTTTGTGCCTTTCAACTATCTTAATACTGTAATCATATGTATCTATTATGTTGTGTTATTTCTCAAAAATATCTAGTTATTTTTTGTCAGAGTAAAACTGAATCTGAATGTTATTCTCTGCATAATTTATCGACATAGTCAATCAAAATGGTACAAAGTTTTACCTTTAAAGTTCCGCCGTATATATGATTGAGAAGATCGTAGGCGGCGCTGTAACCACAGTTATTGAGGTAACCATTGGACGCTGAAAGTGTCTCACATCTCCCTCCATAGGTATCGGTCGGCTGTGGTAAAAACCGGCTTACATTTTACGTCAACAGAGCAACTGTGTTTAATTTAAATAGTTTGTTTGAATACCAGAACATAGTCCTTATAATCGTGACCTAGCTGTAGCGCAGATCGTTAAATCTGAATAATAGAAACAAGAAAATATATCATAGAAGTAAAAAACAATATACACATGTGGTTATAAGTCTAAAACAGCAGCGTACCCATCATGATATAGCTTCAACATATAATTTAAGCATAAACATTTCATCCCCACAAGTAATCCGTATATCATAGTACTGATTTCAGATATAAAATGAACGTTATTGGAGTAAACGCCTCCAAACTCGTGATGGCTTTTTTCATGCTTAGCTAACATTGAAATTTCAAACTTACTCTGGGTAAGTTTTGTGATACTTTTAGCGTTGAATAAAGTGTTTCTCTGCCGGAGTTTCTATGTGTAAATGATTTCATCCCCAGCTTTTGTATCCCCGCACTTCCATTTGTCCTAACTTATCGACTAAGCGTTATATTTTGTCCTTTTCTTTTTTGTCTGTCGACACATTTAAGATTTGATTCCCCACAGACGCGTATATATGCGTACCATGCAATGTTCCGCGGTCATTGTGAAGACGGTCTTGATGTTGGCTCTGTTTGAGATGTAGTGCTGGTAAAACCGCTGAATATTTGGGCCATTTCCTATATGCAAAAACAAAAAGACAATTTGTTGTCAAACAACAGAGCTACGCACGAAAAATAAATTATAGAAGTAATCCGTATATCATAGTACTGATTTCAGATATAAAATGAACGTTATTGGAGTAAACGCCTCCAAACTCGTGATGGCTTTTTTCATGCTTAGCTAACATTGAAATTTCAAACTTACTCTGGGTAAGTTTTGTGTTTTCATACAATCTGGAAATTAACTAAATCAAGTTCGATATATTGATAACCAGCCAGCACTTATTGGAGACCTATTTGTGGTATACAATAGGTGGTAGCTCTACAGCAAGACATCCTCATTGTGTATAGTGTTCATCAGCACAATATATCAACGTGACGTCATACAGATTTAAAGCTTGGCGCAATGGAATCAAATCGTTTCAAAGGAGATTGATGAAAATTCATCCGAAGTGTAAATATAATCAGAATTATAGAAACTGATGGAAGTCATATAGGGATTGCCTGTCTGTATATATTCAGAAACAGTCCACTTGACAGCAACAAAAAGGCCGTAAAAAAATCCATACATTTCAGAGACTGACCATTTGAGTGTAGTTTCACTTTAGGTTTAAAACTGACCAGGTTTGACCACGGTGTCTGAGGTGCCACTGAATATGTACACTTTATCATGTCGCAGGTTTGATGTCGAGTCCACGTTGCCAAGAAAGCTGCCTGACGTCACTAAAAATTCCAGTGACGTCACAGATTCTACAGACGGTGTCAGCATACAAGCTGAGGCGCCAGCAATGGTTCCTCGGGAACAGGCAAACGGTACTGTAAATACGTAGAATAGGTTTTCTTCATTTATTTGATAAAAGTATCCATCAACTGCACAATGGCGTGTTTGGTTGTTCTTTTTATTGTATGATTTTCGTCATCGCTACATAATATGGTAAAATAAAATAAACAAAAAACTAGAAAAAATGACGTTTTTTATTATCCTGTACAATGTTGATGTAAAGAGTGTATTTCGGTTTCATTCTACACATCGATAGACCTGTTAAATATCTTTTCCAATCCGTATATTTTAATTTTCTAAAATTGAAAGGAAAACATATATTGCAAATGAATGGCGCATTTTTGTTGATCACTCAAATGCCGTGGTTCGAATTCCCCGCGCGTGCTATGACGCGCCAATCTAGTTGATCTAGAGCTTACGGATTTATTTAATCTCTCAAATAATGACGCTAATGTGTCTGTGTCTAGATCTTCTTTTGTCATCGGCAATATTTCGATATCATCTGACCTAAACTCGAGCATACATGTATGCTCGGATTTTCAAAATCAAAAGACATTCATTTTAATTTGATACATTTTTGTGAAAAAAGTTGGACTTTGTTTACGAAGTTATTAAAACATGTTCTTATTTTTTCCTACCTCTCGCTTAATAGACTATTAATACAAACCACAGAAAATAGCGTGTTATAAGTTATGGATGACGAAAATTTGGCATGTTACCTCAAGGGACATAACTCTAGCGTCTTACCTCCCGCTATGATCCCTGCTCCCATTATCGTTTCCGAGTTGATCACGTGCATTTGAGTTGCCATAGCTGCACCAGAGGAAATTCCGGAAATCGATATCGTGTTGGCACCAACATGGTACGTTTCTTATTTTTGCAAAAAAATATAAAAGGTTTAATTTAAAAAACCCTAAAAACTCTGGCATACATTAAATGATATACACGTACTCTGCAATAGGACAATTTGGATTATACAGTGTATGTTTTTCCAGTATATAGATTTTACCATTTCGTATACAAAATATAGAATATATGGTGTACAAATAAGATCATAGTGTTTACGTATAGTAACAGTGAGCACATTACACAACATACTGTATAGATAATATAGCATACATTATAACTGAAAATATGCATTATTATACATTATTATACATAATTATACATTATTTCAAAGGGATGGGGTCCACAAATAACGAGGCATCTCGAAAATACACGTATGTTTTGGAGTAGAAACATGAATTGCCTCATTATGACCGGCTTAACATTAAAAATGAATCATAAAGTTCAAGGTTCGCACCTTCGGTAGCCCCTCAATCTAGCGCACTCAGATCTAGAGCGAGAGTTACACAGAAAGAACGACAAGAAACAAGACGGTGGTCCCCATCTTTGCGAACTTTCTGTATCCACCCCCTGGTAAAACAAATTCCTGTGCAAGTAGGCCTAGTATACATTGTACATATAATAGTATGTGGTGTAGTATACTACATGTGTGCATACAGTGCATTAACGTATACAGTATGTATAGTTAAGTGTGCAGGGTACATTGTAAGTACTAACTTATCAAATGTATTATAGTAAATAATGCACATTAAGTATAGTATACAAGCTAGACAAACTCCATAATGTATCACCATTTTGGGCATAGCACTGTCAATCATCCTGTCACGCAACTTATATATGTACATTGAACATTTTGAATTCCTCACATTTCCTAGAAATTCCTGTTGGTTAGACCTACCCAGCCGTGGATCAGAGGCCCTCAGTAGACCGACGAGCATACATAGTAGGTAAGCTTCCATACTAGGCTAGTGTCAATATTTGACTTTATCTGTTATCAGTGTGTGTGTGTGTATGGTTTCCTTCATTCAGACAGATGTTCTGAGTCACATAGCTCTGATCACTCAAAGTGTTACACGCTTGTTAATAATAATATCAATGATATACCACATTTATTTAGCGCTCTATATAATTTGTAAAATTACTCCAAAGCGCTTTACAACATATGGATAATAGTATTAGTTATAATTGATGAACAAAAAAGGCATGCAAAACACCATTATGCAATGTACATAAAGTAAGAAGATAATTGTTGTCACACTCAACATGTAACACACGTGTGTTTAGTACAAATGTGCGTGTCGTCACCTTGTAGTTGTCACCACTCAACGTGTCGTCACCTTGAAGTTGTCACCACTCAACGTGTCGTTACCTTGAAGTTGTCACCACTCAACGTGTCGTCACCTTGAAGTTGCCACCACTCAATGGGTATCAACTTACGATCACTGTTCGTGTCAATCATGTATGGTAACTCAAATGTTCATGTAAGGTTGAACGTACCCATAATTACTCATTGTTCTGACTACAAATTGTAAAAATAAGATAGGGTATAAGTATGTATGTGTAGAGACATTAATAACTCCTAGCCCCCTCCGAAAACCTACAACGTTCAGCTAACTGATTATCAGATGACAAGTTGTTACTTAAGGAATGATTTTTATTTTTTCAACATTTATGAGGTCATAACAACAATGGGTTTATGGACATATTGAATGAATCGCGTTAGCGATTCATGTAAAATATGTCCAAAAACCCATTGTTGTTATGACCTCATAAATGTTGAAAAAATAAATATCATTCCTTATATTTACATTGACGAATCCTTTCAGTGGATCGATATAACAACGAATAAAACAAATAAACAGGGTTTGTTCCTGCTTATACACGGGTGCAACGCAGTGGCGAGAACAGTGTTTTTTCGCGGGGAAATGTGACACTATCGTGAGAGATCTTAGCAACCGTCAACAACAATAACACAACAAAATGTAGTTCCATATTCAATGTTTATTTGTAGCACAGGACACGTGAATACGTGGATATTTCACAAAGCACAGTTCAATAATATTTTAAGATGTAAGAATTAAGCATCTAGGTCGGTCGTTCCGAGTGAGTAGTTTTTGTAGTGTATTACTACGCAGTGTGATCAGGTTACTATCAGTTCCCACGTGCTGAGATTCTATGAACACCTGTGTTATGCATTTATGAATGTAATTTTTGTCAATGGGTCTAAGCATACAGAATGTAAATATTTGTCTATAACCAAATTGTTACAAAAGTGTGATGACTAAAATGTCGCACATTTACACGGCGCGATACTTTTGGCAGTCGGCACGACCAGCGGCCTCTTATGTTATAGGAGTAGCATGCTGTGGTGACTCAAGGTGTTACTGGATACACGTATGTCGACTCAAATAGCTGTACGTGTGTGGGGAATGATTTCTGTCGAAATACATACAAGCTCCTAAGGGCTGATGTCCTTGTTGATTCAAGTACGAAATTGTTAACTTAACTGCAGTTGAAGGATGAATATCATTTTGTATTAATATGTAATATGTACAACGACTTAAGAAGTCAATATATCAAAATATACTATAGGCAAAACCCTTCAATGTTTAAATTAATACAGTTATTGTGTGTCAAATAGCAACAAGGAATTAGCCGTCTCGGCAAATTTAATTTTGAAGCAAATAAGATAAGAGTTGTATTTCTTTAACTTGTAATCCACTTCTGTCTTGCTGTTTCACATCCTTATTATGTTTTGTATATACTATGTATTATGTACTCCTGGGCCGTAAGGCGTACAGTCAATAAATTGAATTGAATTGAATTGGTCATGTTCCAATTATTCAAATTTTACGTACAACAAAGTGGTCAACTCAAACGTATGCTTGGTTAGTTAAAAGTATTGTAGTTCATGTGTACTCTCTGAAATGATTGTAGATCATGTGTTTTCTCTGCAATGATTGATTGTAGTTCATGTGTATTCCCTGAAATGATTTATTGTAGTTCATGTGTACTCTCTGAAATGTTGTAGGTCATGTGTATTTCCTGGAATGATTGTAGTTCATGTGTATTCTCTGAAATGATTGTAGTTCATGTGTATTCCCTGAACTACAATCATTTCAGGGAATACACATGAACTACAATCATTTAAGGGAATACACATGAACTACAATCATTTCAGGGAATACACACGAATTACAATCATTTCATGTGTATTCCCTGAAATGATTGTAATTCGTGTGTATTCCCTGAAATGATTGTAGTTCATGTGTAATCTCTGAAATGATTGTAGTTCATGTGTATTCCCTGAAATGATTGTAATTCGTGTGTATTCCCTGAAATGATTGTAGTTCATGTGTATTCTCTGAAATGATTGTAGTTCATGTGTATTCCCTGAAATGATTGTAGTTCATGTGTATTCCCTGAAATGATTGTAGTTCATGTGTACTCTCTGAAATGATTGTAGTTCATGTGTATTCCCTGAAATGATTGTAGTTCATGTGTATTCCCTGAAATGATTGTAATTCATGTGTATTCCCTGAAATGATTGTAGTTCATGTGTATTCCATGAAATGATTGTAGTTCATGTGTATTCTCTGAAATGATTGTAGTTCATGTGTATTCCCTGATATGTTTGTAGATTATGTGTATTCCCTGAAATGATTGTAATTCATGTGTATTCCCTGAAATGATTGTAGTTCAGGGAATACACATGAACTACAATCATTTCAGAGAATACACATGAACTACAATCATTTCAGAGAAAACACATGAACTACAATCATTTCAGGAAATACACATGAACTACAATCATTTAAGGGAATCCACATGAACTACAATCATTTCAGGGAATACGCATGAACTGCAATCATTTCAGAGAATACACATGAACTACAATCATTTCATGGAATACACATGAACTACAATCATTTCAGAGAATACACATGAACTACAATCATTTCAGAGAAAACACATGAACTACAATCATTTTAGGGAATACACATGAATTACAAACATTTCAGGGAATACACATGAATTACAATCATTTCAGGGAATACACATGAAATGATTGTAATTCGTGTGTATTCCCTGAAAGGATTGTAGTTCATGTGTATTCCCTGAAATGGTTGTAGTTCATGTGTACTCTCTGAAATGATTGTAGATCATGTGTTTTCTCTGCAATGATTGATTGTAGTTCATGTGTATTCCCTGAAATGATTGTAGTTCATGTGTATTCCCTTAAATGATTGTAGTTCATGTGTATTTCCTGAAATGATTGTAGTTCATGTGTATTTCCTGAAATGATTGTAGTTCATGTGTATTCCCTGAAATAATTGTAGTTCATGTGTGTTCTCTGAAATGATTGTAGTTCATGTGTATTCCCTGATATGTTTGTAGTTCATGTGTATTCCCTGAAATGGTTGTAGTTCATGTGTATTTCCTGAAATGATTGTAATTCATGTGTTTTCCCTGAAATGATTGTAGTTCATTTGGATTCCCTGAAATTATTGTAATTCATGTGTATTCCCTGAAATGATTGTAGCTCATGTGTATTCCCTGAAATGATTGTAGCTCATGTGTATTCCCTGAAATGATTGTAGTTCATGTGTATTCCCTGGAAATGCTACACACGTTCAATATTCACTCACATAATACACATTTAGTCGCTTAAAATGTTACACACGTGACGTCACCAAAAGCTGCATACACACGTGTAATCATCCGAAACGTAACACGTGTAGTCGCTTAAATTGTTTAACTGTCGTTCAAAGTATGAAACACATTTGTAAAACACTTTTATCTCAAAAGTCAGAAAGAGACAATAATTGGAAAAAGTGATATGATTGTCCACGTATTGAATACGTCAAGTCCAAACGTGTATGTGTGTCGTACTGCTGACGAATACATTGACTGATATGTCGGGCGGCTGATGTATTCCTGGCCGGGGATAGACGGTGTCGTTTGGTAGGTACAGTTGTGACGAGAATAGGATCATGGTGCATGAAGATCTATAATGTGTATATCAGATGCATGTGCCCACTTCCCCGCGTGGATAGGATTAATTTTCAAAGTTAAATATGAATACTGATTTTATATTAAACAAGCCAGACCTGACTCTACATCAGTATAAGTGTAGTTAAATTGTTTTACGTAGCATCTTCTTTTATCAGCTTGGAACACCAATGTATTTACCTACACTGTATAATATTGGATGTACCCGTGTATATATCAAAATATATGAAATGTATCATTTTTCTTTAGTTCATAGCAATACGATAAGACATTTCACATAACGACGCAGGGCGTTAAAATCAAAACAAATAAACATGACGTACCGTCTGGAGTGTGTAACGGGTGACAATTATGGCCTGGATGTTTATATAACCTCGTCAGTTAATTATCAAATATAAACTCGCTGAAGCTCGATTTGATGGTTACATTTGAGAACTATCTCACACGAACATATATTTTACATAAATATAATATAGATAATAATATAGATATAATATAGATATTATATAGCTAATAATATAGATATTATATAGATATTATATAGCTAATAATATAGATATTATATAGCTAATAATATAGATATAATATAGATTTAACATAGATATAATATCGATATAATATAGAGAATAATAAAGATACAATATTGATAATAACATAGATATAATACAGATAATAATCAATTATCACGAGTTTGATATGCTATTTCTTCCATATCAAGAAAAGTAAATGAAAATATGAAATAACGCCGCATGATGTTAATTACCAAAGAAATAGTTCAACAGCATGATGCCCATACAATATAAAACCGAGATTTACCACGACATGTACATTTATTGAAATTTTATTTACAAAATGTATATCTGTCTTGCATTTTTTTCTTTCATCATCACCAAACTCTTTACAGATTTACGATAATCTCTCTCTCACCCCAACAGTCTTAATTTAAAAAATAATGACTTCCTGACTGAGAACG